TGCATTTGCACACATTTTAGTGGTGCCCCAATCAGTTTCCCCTATGCATCGCTTCCACCCAATTCAAGGTAATGGACCGATGGTGAAGAATTGTGCAATGGAGGAGACGGCCAAGTCGTCTCTCGTGATTACGATGCCACCCCTCGGTAAGACCCAGTATTATTCCACCAATGCATGCTATCCTCACGTTGCGTGTTGTCAATCGTCAGTGTGACTTCAATGCCAAGGCGACTGGTGAATGTCCCATTGTGCTTTTGTTCGTTGTAGTTTATCGACCACCTGGAACGTTTCCTGTGCAAATCGTGGAATACTACGAAGGTGATTGTGTTTTACATTGTGGTTGGCATGCTGATTTGAGAGGAGAGATGTGTGGCAGTGAGTGGGACAGTGAATTGAACTGGAGTTGCTTGTGACTTGTAGATGACTGGTCAGTTGAAGAGGAAGAAGACACAGGTAGGCGCAAAATTGAGATGCTCGGATACACGCATTGCATAGGTGTGTGTATGTTTGTAGGTGATGGGAGACTGGGTGCGCGAGAAGGGAAGGTGGTGGAGGAAGGAACGGAGACGAGGGTGAATTTGGGTGGGAGTAAGAGTGAGACCGTAAAGGTGAAGACAAACAAGAACCGGGAAGGAAATATGCAGGATAAGGATAAGGAGAAGAAAGAGATAGAGGAGGAGGAGGATAAGGAGGAAGAGGAGACGAATGTGGTCGAGTTTGAGGGGAAGAAGGATGGAGGTGAGAAAGAGAATAAAAATGGAGAGTGTTTGGTGGTGAATGTGGACGTGAAGAAGGAGGTAGAGGTGGAGTTGGAGGCGAGGGCGGAGGCGAAGGTGGTGGAAAGAAGGACGAAGGTGATGAAAAGAAGAGGACGAGAGTGGTTGAGGCGAATTCAAGCTCGTGTAAAGAGCCGCCTTCGTCTACCACGAATGCGTGCTTGTGTTTCAAAAACGACTGAAGCCTTATGATCGAATTTACATGTAGCAGCATATTGTGAAGGACATTCCAAGTATGTGTAATATCATCTTTCAAGCAGTTTTGCATTTGAAATCACCCGCCTAGCAGAGAAAGTTATTCACATCAATGAAATTGGAGCAGCCCCACATGATGATACAAATT